TACGTGAAGGCGGAGGTCTCCTGCCTACTTCCCCAAAGACTTCCTTCCGCGGTGGGGGGTGTAAGGCAGTGCGGCCCCCGCTCGCAGGCAGGCAGGAGGAAAGGGAGACGCCCTAGAACGGTATGCAAAAGGTCAATAGGTTTGGTAGGCCTTCTTCCGATGGCTCAATCCAACTAAAAAGTGTATTGTTTATTGATTAATTGTATTGTTTATTTGGTTATTGCTTGTTGTTTTATGGATGTGTTGTTGGGCTTGGCCTCATGTAAGCCGCTCTGAGTCCCTTGGGGAGATGGTGGCGGGGTATAAATAAAGTATTATTATTATTATTTTTATTATTATTATTAAACCCAAGACATTAATGGGGATTAAGAGCCAGTTGACCATTGATTCGAGTTGAGACTCACTCCTGCACAAAATCACGTCAAAGGTTACACGCATAAGGTGCAGATAAAACAAAAATGAATTTCATGTCTAGATAGGCCCCGTCTACACGATATCTTTTGAGGTAGGTATTTATTTATTTATTTAGAGCTTTTATAACCCGGTCTTCTCGACCTCCGAAGAGGGACTCAGGCCGGCTAACAACAGGAAATTCGTACACAAGTAGGATAAACAAAATAGCATCGTAATACATTAATACATAAAATACATTAAAATACAGATCATACAATTACATAAAGCCAGGTCGTCAAAGTAAAATCACCAATTCATCACCATCTGCCAGTGCGGTCAGCAGTTATTGACTCAATCATCATTCTGCAAATGCTATATTCCAAAGCCAAGATTTTGCCAGCTTTCTGAAAGTCAGGAGGGAAAGGGCAGATCTAATCTCCAACGGGAGAGAGTTCCACTGCTGAACAGCTCTCACAGTCAGGAAGTTCGTAGAATCATAGAATCCTAGAGTTGGAAGAGACCTGGTGGGCCATCCAGTCCAACCCCATTTGGCCAAGAAGCGGGACAATTGCGTTCAAAGCACTCCCGACAGATGGCCACCCAGCCTCTGTTTAAGAGCCTTCAAAGAAGGAGCTTCCACCACACTCCGGGGCAGAGAGTTCCACTGCTGAACGGCTCTCACAGTCAGAAAGTTCTTCCTCATGTTCAGATGGAATCTCCAACTTATGGTCATCTAAAACATCTCAAGATATCTCCAACTTATGGCCATATCATAGAATCATAGAGTTAGAAAAGACACATGGTGGGCCATTATCCAGTCCAACACCATTCTGCCAAGAAACAGGAAAATTGCATTCAAAGCACCCCCGACAGATGGCCATCCAGCCTCTGTTTAAAAGCCTCCAAAGAAGGAGCCTCCAGCACACTTGCAGCAGAGAGTTCCTCTGCTGAACGGCTCTCTTTACAGTTAGGAAGCTCTTCCTCATGTTCAGATGGAATCTCCTTTCTTGTAGTTTGAAGCCATGGCTCCTAGTCCTAGTTTTGAGGGCAGCAGAAAACAAGCCTGCTTCCTCTTCCTTTTGACATCCTTATCTTTCTGAAGACAAGAGAAGTTTCTGTTTGATTGTTCATTAATAAAAGACTTTGTTATACTTCACAAGCCATCTAAAGATCATTTGTGGTGGAAAACCTGTGAGAACTTCTCCTTGGGCCTCCTGGCTCCCCACTGGGCAAAGGTTGCACGTCCTGTTCTAAAGACAATTCTTTACAGGCCCAGCGCGCGACAGAACAACTCCCAAAATATCTAGTAGCCTACCGGGCGTTAGGAATGATGGGAGTTGAAGTCCAAAACACCTGGAGGGAGGGCCCAAGTTTGCCCATTCCTGCCCTAGAGCGACCAGATAACGTAGTCCCAAACTGCAGTATATGGCAGTGTAGACCCAGCCTATGTGTGGCTGCAATATACAGCTGTGTATTATTTAATGATTTATATTATTTAATTCCAGGCTGTTTGGCGACACCTGCTCATTGGCCACTCTCTCTTGCTTTGAAACCTCTCAACGAATCCCGTACGAGGAAGCCATTCGGCAAGAGTTCAGACCCATCAAAGTCGGGGAGGCTTTCGGTCTGACGTAAGTATTTGTTTAGAGAATAACGACCCGGATACTTCACTTTTGTCACATAGAACCAACTTCCACCCTCCCTTCAGGTGTCTTGGGCGTCAACTCCCA